CCTTCCACGAACTCCTCTCTCTGCGCATGGCAGGGACAGAGACGCTCAATGCGACCAATGCATGACGTGCAGAGAAAGGGGAAAGTGCATGGGGATTGAAGAGACGCAGATAGACGGCGACTAAAATGTACTCAGGGGTACATTTTAGTCGCCCTCTACATGACCCTCTGCGTCTCTGCAATCTCTGCCGGGTTCGCCGCCTAGGCTAGGTGCCACCTAATACGTTCGCCACTTAACATGTGGTATAGACCTCGCCCTCTGCGGGAGGTCAGCGTGAATTTCCGCCCTTTCCCCATGCTTTTTGAGTGCCGACGAAGGCGAGGTCAACGTGACCTATTGGCCAGCTATAGACTGGCTATTTAGGGGACTTTACTACCGTCCCTGGGCATTGTCTGAAGCTTTTTGATTTGTAAGCTACTCGATCAACCGACTTTAGTATTCTCGACGTCATAGAGCATCGAGAACAGGAGTACAGAAATGGTGGAGTACAACGGCTGTCGCCGTACCCTCGATCATCTCAATGGGGCAATTCTACACCTCAATAAAAGTAGGTTGGCGAACTGGGTTTCCACTTAAGCGAAATGTTACCTTCGCAGCTGATCAGGTTTTAATGTTTACCACATCCATGGGAACGCTTCATCACAGTACCCGCGATCCTGTGAATTTCGACGCTATATAAGACCACGTAAGAGTTAGCAGTTAGCTTCATTAGCAGATTTTCAACCGGTACTTTTACAGACTTCGTGCTACAACTTTAAACATCTCATTGTTCTGAAAAAGCACTAAGTTCCAAACCCTTCGAAGCCGACTGCGTCAGAACATTACGAATATGAAATTTCAGTAGGAGGCAACGCCCAGCTCCGGTTGTATGCTGCAAGGAGTTCATAGATTGCACAGGATGAGCCACATATGAACAGCTGCGGTGAAAGCTTTGAGAACTTCTTCATTTTTGACCTAGCGCGGCCACTAGGGGACGAGTCTGCCTTGAAGGCGCGCTTCGGGATTAGGCATTGTAATGTGCTCCATGCCCCAGCGTAGTAGGCAGGCGAACAAGGGTTGATGTCGCGCCTTCTTGCGGCTTGAAAGTGCGCGACTAGGCGCTGGCACTTCGCTCAACTCCCACTCCACACCTTCGTCCGCAAGCACCGCCATCCGCTGTCAGTTGCCACGTAACGCCGCTCAAAAGCGCGAGCGCAGTGGTGCCAGCGGTTCCGTTGCTGGCTTCAAATCGTAGATTAGCAACTGCAGCGGCAGGGTAAGTCGTTGAGAAACCGTCTAACACGCCCTTCCGTATCATGTTGAATGCGGCTGAAAGGGAAAAGGTTCTTATTCAGGGCGTGTTCTGGGTTTTCTGTTGCTTTCTTTCTCTTTTCGGGACCTCCTTGTTGAACGATCTTCCACACCTAATTTATAAGAGGCTTGCCTTTAAGTCCAATAAATATGTCTGAAATCAAGTCAAAAATACAATGCATTTACGTCATCTTCAAAGCCCAAAATCTTCGATAGAAACGATTTTTTCTGAAAATGCTCACCAGAGTACACATCACCAAGGAGAACCAACACAGCGGCCCTGGCTGAATGATGACGACATCATTTTGTTTTGACACTTCTGGCCTCTGAATCAAAGCCTGCTTTCTTATAGAGTCGATTAGGTTCTTTGTTGAAGTTCTACACTGAAATTCAATTCGACCGACGTTTCAGCTATTCCCTGAAGTGCACAACTTAGCTCTCCCTATATCTTTACTTGTCACTTCAGGGCACTAATTTTGCCTGAATTCAGAAATGGACCAATAGGGCAGGAGGTCCGCGTCGAAGTATTGCCTTTTATGAAACCCATTTTTACGGTATTTTGATGAGCAGAATGAAATTTACTGTATTCCCAAAGGGCCCTTGCACTGAGCCGTGTCCACGTTTCGTTGGATGGTGGAAAACCGGTACCTCTAAAGAGGTTTCCTGTTTACGGGACATTTGACACTTCATTCACATTTTCAGAAAAGCAGATACTCGCTTTGTCAGAGCAGAATGTTTCCGACCACCACCAATCCAGGCTAGCCGCTACGCAAACTCGCCTTCTCCTGCCTTCAAAGATCGAGAAACGTTCTTTTGTGTGCATCGCCCTTAACACTTTTGCGTACGCTGCGCCACATGCGGAGCGCACGGTTTTCTGCCTCTGTATTGGCAGCGTGCGCACATGATGGAATATACGTATCCATCCATCAATCTCATTCCTCTTCTCGCACGTCAGATTTCTGAATCGATTTTCTTCACAGTTGCTGTAGTCGTTTATTCCATGTTTGTGCAGGCATATGTTATCTCACCAGGAGAACAACATACTTGACTGGGACGTTTCCAGCCAATAAGTTACTACTTGTACGTGACATTCTAATAAAAGCCTGGTTGCCAATTAAGTTTGCTTGAATAAAACACATTCTTTGAAGCAAATTCAGCAGTCACCGCAATCTAGCTGTAATACAACTGAGTCGCAATAATCTGTTTCAGCCGAAATCTTAGCGTGAATAAAGTGATGTGCCAACAAAACATCAGCGTAAGTGCTTTCGGAGCGCTTCCTCCACCTCACATGCCTTTCAGCTGTATACTTTTCAAGTCTTGTGGTATTAGGCACTCAAAGTAACCTCTATTTGAAAACCTACTCATGCTCACTCTACCCTGGTATCAAAATCGATGATAAATGTACGGCAAATTGTGGGTGTAATATACCCACCTTAATCCAAGGTCTAGTGAAGGGTGAAATGCGTCTACGAATATCCTGTAAATTGAATAAACGTCACTGCTGGTCAATAAACATGCTTAAATAGATTGTGGGGTGAAGGAACGAACCTGTTGCCATCGCTATTTTTTATAAGAACTTGGTCCAAGCAGATTTTTTGATCCCTCACCATCGCTGTTACATGATCATTCGATAGCTATTTGGAATGTTTATCACAAGTCAAGCAGGCAAAAATTATGACGCACTTCTCATAAAATTGTGATTTACCCAGATAATAAGGAAACAAAGTGAAAAAGCACCCTCTAAAAAGGATTTCCAAAAATGTCTGCCCCGTGTGGCCGCATGCGCCACCATGTGGCGCACGATGCGCATGCACGCGCGGCCAGGCGAGCTCGCCAGCGCCAAAAACGGCCTGGTACGCAATGTGTTATGACATTGTAATGTTCCTTTAAGCAAGATTGTGAAGCCATTTGCATTTACAGCACAACCCAAGGAGTTCCTGGGTAAAGACGTCGGGGACGAGACGAGCTGGCCATTCTGCGAAGTTGCTCGTCAGTGTTAGAAAGTTGTCAGTTTTCTAGTGATGCTATTTTTCGTGAGAATGAAGCTCGCGCATACTCCTCTTCTCCACCTTTTGACCTCAAAAAGGTTATGGAGCTTTGCCATAGAGCGAAATTAAACTACTGCGAAACGAATTCCTATTATATTTCGAGCCGTCTGTATGAACCTCTTGTAGCGCTAGTGAATCTTCCTAAAATGACTCCAGTTAAAGCTTGTACAATATTTATTGATCAACCTCGAATCAAACAAAAAAATTGAGCAGCTTAAAACAATGACTAAAGCATCAATAAGATTCCGGCCGTTTCTGATGGAAGGTCACACTTTTTTAGCTGAGTTTTCACTTTTCGGAAGAGGAATTCGGAGTTTTGGGATAAAACAGTGAAATCCAGAAGCCGCAAGTATAAAGAAAACATGGACATTTACTAGTAGTCGAGGCGTATTTTCGTAAGAGAAAAATTGGTTTTTAAATGAGATCTTGATTGGGAAAACCACATCTCATTATCTTGAATCTGTTATTGTTTGGGGCTTTCCTTTTCTGGCTGTGCTGAGTTAAAAGTTGTGACGCTTTCTGCCGAAATCATCTTGAAGTAGCGAATAGATTCCAGGAATTAGGGCTACTTATCATCTGTCAGTCGACGGCTCGCAATGTATAAAGGACGAATTCACGATCAGAGGGAAAATCGAATTAGGAAGAATTCACCTGGTTGAGGGACCCGCGGAGCTCCTAAGTGTGCGAACTGAAGCACAATTTGCACAGGAGGAGTTGACCTCGTTGACCTATTAAGGTTTAATCCCGCCGCGGCTGGTCAGTGCACGCCCACCGATCATCTGATCACTCGCCGCAGGTCTATACGTGGTGAGTGATTAGATAGGTGAGAGAGCGTAGCGTTGAAGAGGGCACAGCGATGATAGTCGCATCAATGCTCAAATCAACGGGCAAGGAAGGGGTCCCATTTCTCGGGTTCTGGGCCGTTTCTCATGGTTTTCCTTCTTTAGTGTACCACTCACCATCCTAGGTTAATTTGAAATGGGTTGCCTTTTCATCGTCCTTTAATCTTGCCGCACTAAATGGAAACGTTGATAGAACATTTTGAAACTTCACCAATGAGAGCTTTTCTCAACTGCTCACGATTTGCGGGGTCCCTATTTCGACTAGTTTTCAGCTTAATTTTTGTGAAGCGCGTGTGGCTACTCTTTAGCGAGCGTCCGTCTCCTTCTGCTAATTTCAGTCTCCTTTGCAGCATGCAAAGTTCTAAACCGGGAAGTTCTAGGCAAGGTTTAGTTAAGAAGGTCAATAATATTAATCGAATTTTGTTTTTTCTTCTTACGATTTTCTTACTTTCGAAAAGTGGCACGCATCGTGACAAACAATTACTGTGACAGTGATGATAATTTGAAGAGTAGATGTGCGCGGATCACTTGCTTTGTAGTATGGAGCTTACTGATATGATAAACGCTTCACCTCTCTGAGCAATGCAGTTGACTATTTGTTGCCATTCGTAATCGTAGGTGCTGCCCGAACATTTGTAATGGTCAGGTCAGGTCCTGATGACTGCTTTGGCACGCACGGGAGATGTCGACGAATTTCTGGGTTGAACACGACGAAAATCGCTCTGGAAGCAAATGAAGATGACATCTACTTCTTGCGCAGACGCCATTTGGTACAAAATTTTTAGCCACGGACGGGGAAGCGAACTCGGGGATCACTCGGTAGAGCTAAATCAACGACAGTGTTCAGGTAGATTTGGTGGTCCTCCACATTTGGAACCGTCATCCAGGTCTATCTATTTACTAGGTCTCAACTCAAAGTATTATGAAAGTTTGAAAAATTAGTACTGATATGATAATTAGCTTCTGAACTATTCGTTAGAGCTAGTGGAGGGAGTGCGAAAGGAGAAGGGCAAGGGTAAAGGCCCCACAGTTCTCAGTCAATCAGAATGCCTGTAGCTTATTTTTGTCGCAGTAAAATTACTTACCCTCCAGCTGTGTGTATGAAAGCCCAGACCAGAGTGGTGCACAGAAACAACCCGAAATCTGTTGTTGTCAGAGACGCAAACGCGTATCCGGTGATGAGTAGAATCACATAGGTAAAAGAGGTCAGCACAGCCTGAAAGTCATCTCTGTCGACTAAACAGTCCACTTGTCTGAGTAATTTATTATAGGAAATTCAAGTTTGAGCTCACAGATGACATTTGAAAAACTCTTCGAGAAAAGGGGAAACTCTAATGGTGGTGTTTCCATAAATCGAGGTGCGCTATCACTAGTCGCGAATGAAAGTTGAGATTTTGAGTGGACAGTCGGAAACGAAAACAATCCAAGAGACTCCAGCCGAAATCATTCAAGAGCATAAAAAACTGAAAAACTATTCAATAAACGACGTAGTCAGCTACCTGTATGAGAAACCTTGCTTCCTTCTTTTCTCTTACAGCATCTCTATTTCGTGCCGCGTTCGTCTTTGATCCAGTAGTTGCTGTCTGAAAGAGAGAGTTTCATTAAAGAGGACAACTCAGTCCACGCACGCATTTCTAGCTGAAGGCAGCTTGGTTACTAGAAGGATGAACGTACGCGTACTAAAAATGAACTAGTTGTGTAATATTCATGACACGAATGTTTAAAGCTCCGCTAAGGCCCATGCTGTTCTTGCTGGTCCACCACTCGTTCATTGCCTAGCAATGGATGAGAGAGAAGTGAACGTTGGCTCCGTTCATTCTCTGTCATCAAAACCCTCTTTTTCTCCCTCTCTTGCCTCCGACTATATGTAGTTACTCGCCCTGGCGAAAGTGCCGCTCCGCCGTAAAGTCGTACAATGCTCGAAATTCAGCCGGGTTAAACATGTTGAAGCGTTTTCACCTGCCTCCATCAAGAAGGTCCACTTAGCTTGGCTAATTGCGTGTTTCGTTTGGAACTCAATACCAATTTTGCAATCGTGAAATGTCCCTTCACCTACAACGAGCAAGACCCGATGAGGGCGCTTGAAGTTTTGCCGGAGCAGACATGACTGGAAGCGCAACATGCAGTAGGGCCTTGTTAAGGCGTACTCTGTTTTGAGCATTTATTCACTAATTCAAAAATATCAATACTGAGATGATTCGCGATCAGAAACTGTGCATAAGCATTCAGACAAACTTGTTTTTGTTTGTTGACTGCTGTTTTTTGGCCGCAGTTCGCCTTGCGAATGTTTCACAAGAATGCTGGGTTGTGAACAAAACTTTCGCCCCAGGCGGGACTAGAACCCGCACCTCTCGCTCTATCACTAAACCTAGTGATCACCGATATTTGGCTCTTGTATTGAGTGATTCCAGAAAAACCATTGGCCATGTAGGCAAATGGCCACAATTGCTTGGGTCTTCTGGCTAGGAACCGAACAGCTCACAGTGATTTAGGAGAAAGGATACTCCAACAGAAAATGACGCTGGCACTGTGTTCTATATTTTATCTTCAAGGGAAAGTAGAAACCCAATGTTTTCCATTTTAGCTGAACGATATTGATTATATCAGTGCAGGTGAAAATGAGAATCAGAGCTGTGTTGAAATAGCGATCCATGTACAGCCCCAAAAACTGAGAGCACGGCTCTGCACTGTATATGACCAACCAGGTGGCGCGTGCATATAAAAAAAGTCACAGCCACCTGAAAGTGGGCAGATTCATCTAAAAAGAAGGAATGATTATTCATAACACCTTACGTATAAAAAATACGCTCGAGCAGAGGATTTCGGTGATAACAATAAACACAATTATACCATATGTCGTCTTGAGAGTGAATATAATCCGATAGTGCATTGGAAATGTGATCGCTATAAACCTAAACGGCAGCCTATTTCAAAGCAATAACTGTAATCGAACGTTCGGTATCGGGCGAGACTCGGCCCGCACTCGTGCTTCTAGGACACATTTACGCAGAAGGGCGCTATCGCAAAATACGGGGGCATTGTGGTGGCAACGCTTTTGAACACGTAAACATTTGTCTTGTTTTCCTTTGTTAGAAATGGGACTAACCAGGAAGGTCTTTCAGGGCGTGACGAGCTTTTTGAAAACGGTCTTTTGCATGATATAGGGGCAGATGCGGGAACCACAGAACCATGTTCAATTTTTCCTGAACGGCCCTCTGAATACCAGAAAAGGTCCCTAGTTCGATTCCTCGTGGTGACAAATTTTTGCATTTCGAGTTGACGTTCCAAAATTCGCGCAAAATGGAGTTAGCATGAATAATTAGTACCATATTCATGATTAGGACCGTCTAAAAGGGTTCTACTGACGGTCCTAATCATGAATATGGTACTAATTATTCATGCTAACTCCATTTTGCGCGAATTTTGGCACGTCAACTCGAAATGCAAAAATTTGTCACCACGAGGAATCGAACTAGGGACCTCCTTTTCTGGTATTCAGAGGGCCGTTCAGGAAAAATTGAACATGGTTCTGTGGTTCCCGCATCTGCCCCTATATCATGCAAAAGACCGTTTTCAAAAAGCTTGTCACGCCCTGAAGACCTTCCTGGTAGCATGGACGTGGAAGGGGAGCAACGGTTCGTGAACAGTTTCCATTTTCCTATGTTCCTGCCCCTTCCCGGATTAATTCTAGGGGACGCTGCCGTATCTTGCGATAACGCCTACGCAGCAACCGCACAGTAATTGAACTTGTGCACTTCTATAACAGGATATCAACACTGGCACGTACACGGTTTGATAAGTCGCTAAAATGGCACGGTCGATGTCAGGTGAGGTTTACAGCGATTCTACAAAGGCCTATGTAGTGTGAAGCTCAATGCAGATTCAGCTCTCGACCGTAGCCGCTGGCCACTGTACCACTTTCGCCCTTAGTTTCTGTAGTTTTGTAATGAGTGGTCGTAGGTGGTCATCGCTGGTTTTGGCAGATTGAATTAGAATAGGCTCTATACAAGTGGGGTGGGCACGTCCAGCTTTTCACGCATGTAAGTGACTGCCCTCACCCCTACCCCCCTAGATTGGCTACACTCCCCCTGGCTCACGAATTCCCCGATTCTCGTGACAGTATAGTAGCGGGCAGCAGGTCCCACTTACATAATTCGTCTGTCAAAAAATGCGTCGTGGCACCCTACTTGGTATAGCACCTCAGAGTATGCTCTCATGTCTGTGTTAGAAACTCATCGGTGCTTTTCGGCATACGACAACCATCAACAATTATATCGTGTCCAACTTAATAGCTTGATCACCATCACTAGTCATTTGAGACAAAATCCCATACAGTTGTGTCTAATGGAGCAGTCTACAGTATGCCAAACTCCATTACAAGATTCGAAACCCTCAGCGCAATCCTTCACATCGTTCACGATTTGGCCGTAAATTCAAACCTATTGATAGAAATAAATGAACTGCAGAGGAGCGTCATCTGGAAAAAGAGGAAGCGAAACTTGACCCATTCGTAGATTCACGTACTCGAGCTCATCCGGGATGTTCCTGCACAAAATTTTGAGTAGTAGTTGGTGGTGAATCAGGTACTAATAGGTTCGTGTCTTACCAAATAGTCCACGGAACGGCCCTATAGAACAGGAAAACGAAAAGGGGCGACAGCACTTTGAAAGCGTATGATACCAAAGCGGCGCGAGATATCCAAAAGGTTGGGTGTTGTTGAACGCTTGGGACGGATTCATATACGAGGGAATGCCAGAATATGGAAGTATACGCCGTGCAGGAATTGAATGTGGTCTCTGTCGAGGGAAGGGTGCCTCATGGTAGACTCTAAACTTTTATTTATTTATTTATTTATTTATTACTATGCACTCGTAGGTGCGCTACAATAATTAGTCAGAAACCAAATCGTTATAAAATGAGAGTCATCGACTTAAAGTAAACACAATTTAAGCAGTATTTTACCCACAAGCGGAAAGTTCACAGACACATATTATTCGAAATCGTTGATGCCTAATAAGGCAAGTAAGTCAATGTTCTTTAATTTTCTTTTGAACGTATCGGTGTTTTGTGCCAGTTGCAATGTGGCTACTGTGCCTGACGATTAATCATGGGCTAATTTGATCGATTTGGTGCATGACCATGCTGAAACTGTTGTTGGAGGAACCTTCAGTAATGCTCCCGAAAAATTGTGGGCATTGTGATTTCAGCAGGCAAAAAAGTATTGTAATAGCGTATCTGTTAATATTACTATGTGAAGCTTAAGAACTGCCCAGACCAGCAATAGTAGTCCAGCTTACAATAAATAGTATACAAGGATTTCTTGACGCTGTCGTGAGTGAACATCGTTTCATTCATAATGACCTGAGTGACGGAGACTTCTGAAAGCTCTGAAAAATTTCTTATTAGTACGATTCACGGGTAATAATAAAAGACAACAAAGTCTGAGAGCGACTCTAGAACTGATGTGATTTTATGAAGTAGCTTTTCTTAATCTCTTCAGATTTGTACGGAAAAACGGACAAATGTCGGAAAACGTCGATTTTTGGGTGGTTTTAACTTCAAACAAGTCTTCCATCAGTTTAAAGGTTCTTCATGGGTAAACAGTACCGACCTTATGTAATGTAGAGAACAGAAGTTATATGTTTGTTAACTGCTGTTTTTGGCCGCAGTTCGCCTTGCGAATGTTTCACAAGAATGCTGGGTTGTGAACAAAACTTTCGCCCCAGGCGGGACTAGAACCCGCACCTCTCGCTTTCCGGGCAAGTGCTATGGTACGTATACCATGAAAAGCTGAGTTGGAATGAAATGGTGCCCCGGTAGCGTAACTGGTAGCGCACTTGCCCGGAAAGCGAGAGGTGCGGGTTCTAGTCCCGCCTGGGGCGAAAGTTTTGTTCACAACCCAGCATTCTTGTGAACAAAAGTTGTATTTTCCATCTTACACATTTAGCACTTTGTTAGCCCTGCTTTAGGCCATCTGACAACTTTAGCACAACACCTATGAACTTCGTTTGATAAAGCGGTTAAATCTAATCTGAGCCATACTATTGTAAAGAAGTGGAAGGATAGAATGGATGGCTACCAGCCTCATTTAGATGGCATTAGCAAAGAAATGGGATAAAGGCAATTAGGAATTCGACCTATGAAGGTAGGTGTAAAAGTAAACTGCACTAAAACCTTTGGCTAGAATAGAGTTCACCTTTAGAGAAAGTACGGAAGGTTCGATACGGCCTAGAGTGTTACTGATCAATCTCTCTACAACGAAATACGTACATTTTGTTGCCTACATTCACTCTGACGTTAGCGGATTTGAACCTGACATGATAACAGAGAAGCGATTCTGAAAGCGGTTTTCGTTCCGGACAAACACACAACAGATAACAATCAGTAGATTTTCGAAAACAGCTCCTCAAATATAGTTGACATATCGAGACGGCAGTATATTAGAAGGATGTATTAATTTCCGCCCTTTCTACTTCTTTATATCACAATTCATTTTGAATAACAAAATAACCTGGACGTCATTATTTTTTCTTCCACTATAGTTGAAAAAACTGAATTTCGCAGCTAACTTGATCTTTTGGGC